ACCTCAATGAAAAATTTTAAAATGTGATTAAAGTCATTATACTTTAAAGATGTTATAAATTATTAAATTATATTTCTGAAGAAATAGGACAGGGCTATAGAAGAGTGGAGAAGGAAGTGAGGTAACATTATTCAGTACCTTCTATCTTATAAGCATATTATATAATTTCTCATTATCAACCACAACTCTGTGAAGAGGGTATCCTTATTCCATTTTTGTAGATGAGGAAACAGACTCAAAGGGTAAGGAAACCGCCCAAATTCACACACACTTGGTAAGTAGCAGAGTCAAAAAAGAAAAGAGAATCATCTTATTTGGGAAAGAGGGGAATATATCTTCTTCTAGATTTACATCTCATAAAATAATATGATATAATACATTGCAGAAATAACACTTCAAATGTTGTTATTGAAATAGTCATGATTCACCTGGCACAAAACCCTTTTCTCTGTCAGATCATAGATTGGAACTTGCTTTGTGGACTTGCCATCATCAGAAAATCATGACGTATCAAAGACAGATGACCTGAGGTTGGACTTGGCTCTCTTGTTCTTCAATCAGAGATAGTAAAAAAGAGCCATACACATCTGATGCATATTCTAGCAGGGAAAACATAGGTCCATACCTTTTATTCATGTCCACTCTTGAAGCAACAAGGAATAACATATCACTAACGTGGAGGGCGTTTCTAAGGGGATTCTGCTGTCCTATAACCTGGCTTCATGTGGAAGAGCCCACGCAGCTGGGGAAAAAATGCTGTACATTTGTTCTTCTTTTCTTCTTCTTTTTTAAACCAGTGATTCTATGTTTATAAACTAAAGGACAGAAGGGCCCAAAGGCATTCCCAACTCCTCCCGCATTATAATACATACTTCCCAAACCAAATCAACCAAGGAAGTACGCATTACTCATTTAATCAATGATGTAATGACACCACATCTTTTACTTTAGGTCCTATAAGTCATATTGCTAGCAGGTGAAAAGAAACCAATTTGTACAAAGATCTCCAGGCTTTTGTTTCCTCTTGTGTAAAATTAGGCCTCTTCAACAGCTAATGGTCTAAGATTCCATTGTTTACAATTCTAGCAAATGTGCTTTTTAGGGTTTAAAAGTTGCCGGGTTCCCAATAGATAACATTTCAGAATAGGATTTTTTCCAATTATGGGAGTGAGCAGATTAGATGAGGAGTATGTGTTCTGGCTACATTCCTGTCATTACTGAAAGAGCACAGTTATCAATCTCTAAAGTACGGGTAAGTGGATTTGATGTAAACAACCTCATGCCAAGTGCTGAGATGTAATGAAAACATTATATAATCCAGTAATGAGAAGTGGAAAAATTATCAACAGGAGGAGAATGAAAAAAAAAAAAGAG